CCAGGCCTTTTGAAGCCGAAGTCTGATGTCGACATCCGGCAGCCCCCACCAAGCCATGTCCAGAAGGCATGCCATTGCGCCCCCATTGGCAGTCCAGAGCCTCTTCGGACCATTGCCCCAATTTTAGAGCAAACTCGACAAGCGGAAAACCTTATTAAGGACAAATGCTGCCAGGAGACAAGCCCAAGTAGAGGTTGTGGAGCAAGCACCAGGTGATTTTGGAAGGATGAAAATCCGTCAGCAGCACCAAAGGCGAAGCATCGTGCTTTGAAACCTCAGCCAAAAAAGCCCGAGTGTCCCTGAAGTCCAGGTCAGTAGCCAGAGGCAGGTCTGCCATGTTTTGCCGCACCATTCGGCAATGGTGGCAAATCAAAGGAGAATTCCAATGGGACCGCAGGGATAGAGCCTCACGAAAATACTTCCAATCCCCACCGATCTCGGTGACGATGAAGCAGCGACCGTCCTGGGTCAATGGTGTGGCTGCTGCCCTGTTTAAAGCAGCAACGATATGACCAATGACAGGTTTCAGGGTTGCCCAGCCGAGGTAACTGTCATCCAACGACAAGATGGAAAGCAAAAAGCGCGAATTCCTCGCACTGCGTGGCCGCCACAACGGACAGCTGAGCACGAATGCGAGGGCTTTGTCGCCCATCCTGCAGTTCCACAAACACCAAAAACAAAATCATAATTCGAATAAGCATCTTCTGGAAAAAGCTATGTTCGAGTAAAGCCGAGATGCTGGTTGAACGTAGCATCGTCGCCGAAGATTTTCAAGGGAATCGGCCATCCTCCTGGCTGGGTCGAATAGTCGACGTGTTGAGCCCAAGGGACCCCGGCTTGCTTGGCCTGCGTCCAATAATCCTCGATGCTCTTCGAAGAAACTTTGAGACCCACCTCGTTCCAAAGAAAACGGAGAACCTCGTCGGCATTGAAGATTGGAATATCCTTGTATTCTATTTTGGTTTCGCTGACTTTCACAGGCACCGAGCACGAAGTCATCTCCTTATATCGAGCTTGCAAGGGAACAGAACACGTGTATCGCATGTACTAAGAACCACCAGCATAAAGCAAAGCCCCAAGCAAGCTTAAAACCAAGAGCCCCGAGCTTGTACTGATAAGAAACCCCACACAAAAAGCACAACCTTGACGTAAAAGGCTACTGGCCCCTGACCTAAATCGCGACCCGTGGCTCGAAGGGAAGTTTCGCGAAACGTGTAAAGTTCCGGGCAGCATTTCCCCGCCCTTGGTAGCTCGCCAGCTTCTTCGTTTTCGCAGACGAATGGCCACGGCTATCCTGGGGCTTTATGAATTCGAATTTTAATAAACCTAAACCCCTCAACCCTAACCCCTAATAAACCTTAAGCAGTTTTGGGGTGTAGCCGTACGTGTAGCCTTTGGATGGTTTTCGGGTTGAAGCGGGGTTATGGGCTTAACCTTGAGGCTTATAGGCCTTAAGAACAGATTGCCCAAAACGTGGGGCCCACTCCATCAGCACACGGGTTGAGCCTTTATGGGGTTTTATGTTGCGGCTTTAAGATTTAGGGGGCTTCGTGGTTTCGGGAGTTAAGGGTTGCGGCTTCGGCTGCCATGCTCCTTGGCGGCTGCAGCTGCCGCCTTCATCTGTCTTTGGATGCTGGAGGCCTGGGGCAAAGCTAGTACAGTATAACGTGTACAGGGCCGGCGTGAATACTATCTCGGGTGAAACCGAACCAAGAGCCACACCCCATCACCAATCTCCTCGAGCATATGCAAGAAAAAAGGGGCTTGCGCTTCCAGATCTTCATCCTCCGTACCTGGCATGCGGCTGCCGAAACCAGGGATCCATGGTTGATTGTGGGATGTGCTTTGTACAGCAAGAATCCACTGCAAGGTCCTTTTCATCGTCGGTCCGGGCCATAGCTAGGGGCTGGGTCTAAGGATTCGGTGCATTCCCCCTGCACGAACCCAACCAACCCGTGCTTTGCACGAACAGTCAGCCCTCAGGAGGCCTCAGAATCGTCACATTTGCATCATCCAGATCGATCTAAAGCGATCTCACAAGCACCGACACAGTGGCATCTGCACTGTGTCCAGGCTCCACGTTAGATCTCGATCCATATTCTAGAATATACTTAAGCTCTCTAGCTCAGTACAGGACGAGTGCCCCTAGCTGACGATCAGCTGTTTGGCAGCAGTGCCTAGAGCTAGTGATCAGGATCCTACTTGGAGCCCGGCTTCCCCTGATTTCCCTCGTCAGTTCTCTTGGCCGACAGCAGGAAGCGGTCGATGGCGTCAATCAAGCCGAGCACCACAGCCTGTTGGTCGGGGATCTCCTTCACCTGCTTGCTTGGGATTTAGGCTGAGGTTCAGGGGGCTTCTATGGCGAATTTGTGTTAGGTTTCGTGTTTTCGGGGTTGGTTCGGCTTTGGCATTTGCATGCTCTTTGTGGTTTAGGCCTAGCCATGGGCTTTAAGGGTTTAGGCGCTCAGAATTTGGGGTTTACGCATTTCGGGATGAGCTACAGCAGATTTTGCTAAACCTTTCGGGCATTGTCGTGCTGCTGGTAGTAATTACAAGATCATTCTGATATGCCCCCTAAACCCTGTAAGCCCTAAGTATAAATAATAATAATCCCGGATATAAACCTGACACCGTACCTAAACCCAATGCTACTATATATATATATATATATATATATATAACAGATCCCTAAGCCGTCAATCCCTTCAATGAAGGTCCCAGGGCCGACTTCGGGGATCGGCTTTGAATTGATGGGGACTTATATAGCAGGTTTAGGCTTTGGGGATGGTGCCCAGACCTTGCCAGCGTCGATGAAGCTCTGCAGGCGGTTTCGCATCTTGCACACCTCCTTGCTTTTGATCTGCAAGTCGTCCAGGTAGGCTTTGCGGAGCACATCGGACCTCCAGAGACCCAAAGATTTCGGGGCATAGGGTTTAGGGTTGAACCTGGGACACATTTGAAAGTTAAGGGCAAGAGATTGGTCACGAGGGACATGTCGGCCAGCTCCGGCGACTTCATAGTGAGCTTTCCCACATACTGGATGCGATTGTTCGCCGTTTGAACAGCCTGCAATCCAGGGATCTGGCAGCAGCATAATTGGCCTAGACGACCCCCTGTAATGCACCTGAATCTCTGGCCTTCTCGGCATCTTTCATGACATCCGGCGGGCCCTCCAAGGCCTTCGGCTTCCGCGTCGCGGCTGCTTTGCCCTTCGCCTGGTGAAGCAGGACAGGTCTTTCGGATTTCTGTTGGTTTTCGGAGGCCTAAGGCCTAAGGGCACACCCCATTTATAACATGAACCCGTCTTGTCATGAACCTGACACCGAAGCCTTAAACTGGAAGCCCTAACACCATAAACCTGTGCTGCCCCAAACACTGATCCCTAAAAAACAGAAGCCCTAAACCCTAGGACGGGAACTTCACGAGGGTTTGATTATGGAATTCCGGGTTTGGGGCTTTAGAGCTTCTGGGGCTTAAGGTTTCCAGGGCGAAAGGGTCTCAGGTTTAGGTTTCGTGCTTTGGGGTGTATAGGTTTCCCTGGGCCTGCCTTGGCCTTAGCAGCACGGCCCTTGGGGTACTTCACTCGTCGATTGCAGCCTCTGTTCGGGGAACCGCCGTCTTCGGACACCGTGAGAAGCCTGGAAATCCAATCCTCTTGGATATCCTCCTCCGCCTCGGAGTCAAGGACCCAGAATTGCTGGGCCTCCTGGTAGCAGGCGGCTAGAAATTGCAAGGTGCAATGTGCACGGCTGGGTTGGTAGGACTTAGGTATAAAAATAGACAAATGTAACACAAGCCTTGACCCCCGGACAATCGGGATGATCCCTGACTTCGGCAGAGTCTTTCACGGACCGCTTGTGCTCCACTATGGCTTCGGCCACTGTCTCTCCAAGCTTGCTGACCAACTCTTGGAAAGTAAGCCACTTTTTGACTCCCTTCCGAGTTTTGGTGTTCTTCGAGCACACGTTTACGTAGACACAGGACTTTCGCCAATCGCCCTCGGCATTGCACCAGGACTCGAAGAGATAGTGCAGACAGGTGAGTCCTGGAACAGCAAAGCCCAACATTAATTTAATATAAGTGATCATCAGTACACTGTGGGATCTCGTCTGAGGCTTGGGCTGCCCTCCCCAGCCGACTTGGCATTCTCGCCCACCGAAACGATCTGGTTCGGCGACCGTGGGCCTATGTCTTCAAACAGGACCGGGTATACACTAAACCCCATATAAGCCTATATCCGACATGATATGTATTAAGTGCAAGGGGCTGTCGAGGCTCCTCATGAACCGGGCCCACTTCGCATGTGCCTGCAAGTAGGCTTGTCTCTTCTTTGCCTGCTTGGCCTCATCCTGCTTTGAATCCGCTTCTGCCGATGGCTCCTCCTGCTGCTCCTGGCCACCTGCATTGTCCCCTGAAGCCCCAGGCTGCCGTTCCCACGACTTTTCCCAGCCCCCGCTCCACCAGCTGCTGTTGTTGCCGTACCACCACTGGTTGTCCTGTCCGGCACTTGCATTCCAGGACCAGGAGCTCCAGGAATCATCGGCGTTCTCGGCAGCATCCTCCTGGATGGGTTTAAGCGTTTAGGGTTTCAGGGTTTAGGCTTAAGGGTTTTGGGTTAAGGGGTTTTGGGATTTGGGGTTAAGGGTTCAGGTTTAAAGGTTTACCGCTAAAGGGTTTGGGGTTTAAGTGTTGAAGAATTTAGAGGGTTTGGCGTTCAAGGGTTTTGGCTGTAAGGTTGAAGGGTTCAAGGGTTTAGGGTTCAAGCCCTGCAAAGCAGGAGAGCATGTTTAAATCCTCGGCGACAAGTCGGAGGTTGGAGACTTTAGGGTTGAATCGTTTGGGGTGTGAGGGTTTGTGGTTCTCGGCTGGGCATCGCTAGCATGGACCACAATCCAGGGAGAAACAGAGCTTTCAAGGCTGTGCCATGATGCGATCTGGTCTGTCCTGCTTGGCGATCTTCTTCGGCGGCTCTGCGACCTGTCTCGGGCAGCTAGGGTTTATGTAGGGCTCAAGGGTTGTAGGGAGAGGGCTTTTGGAGGGCACCTAGTGGGGCTATCGGGTTTTTAACAAGGGCCTCGTGGGAAGACTTCGCCGGGGTCTGCTTCTTCTCGGATTTGCTGCCTTCCTGCGTGCACAGTGTGTGTGGGCTATTAAAGAAAGCACCCTCGGAATCCTTCGGCGAAGTCTGCTTCTTCTTGTTCTTGCCGGCTTCCTGCGGAGTGGCTTCGATTCTATTTGCTTTGCATTGAATTTAGGAGTCTTAAAGCGAATCAGCCTCATTCGGCGGGGTCTGCTTCTTCTCGGGCTTCGTGTCTTCCTGCAGGGTGACTATATATATCTGCTGGTTTATAGTAGGAGTCTGGGCGATCTTATAAAGTTAAAGTTTCCTGGGAACTCTTCGGCGGGGTCTGCTTCTTCTCGGGCTTGCTGTCTTCCTCCAGAGTGACTTATCACATGTGATTTTCAATAGGAGTCTAAGGATCTAAAAGAAAGGCTCCTCGGAACTCTTCGCCTGGGTCTTCTTCTTCTCGGGCTTGGTGTCTTCCTGGAGAGTGACTATATATATATATATATGGTTTAGCAGGAGTCTGGGATCTTAGAGTTATACAGCCTCCTCGGAACTCTTCGGCGGGGTCTGCTTCTTCTCGAGCTGGCTGTCTTCCTGCAGAGTGTCTCACTTATCACATGTAATTTGGTCTGGGAGTTTAAGGATCTTAAAGAACGGCTCCTCGGAACTCTTCGCCGGGGTCTGCTTCTGCTCGGGCTTTCTCGCTTCCTGCAGAATGGCAGTTAATTGGATTTTAAAGGATCGCTTATTTGAAAGGCTCCTTAGAATCCTGGGGCGAAGTGTGCTTCTTCTTGGGCTTGATGGCTTCCTGCTCAGTGATCGATTTGCGTTGGAGTTTGGGATCTTGAATCAAAGACTGCTGGGAATCCTTGGGCGAGGTCTGCTTCTTCTCGAGCTGGCTGTCTTCCTGCAGAGCGACTTCTTGCAGTTGGTTATATGTAAGAGGGTGTAGGATCTAGGGCTTCGGGGTTTCGTTCTGTTTTTCCCGAACCGGAAACTCAATCCTTCAAGTTCCAACCTTTGCAACTCAAGAGGCCTTCGGGGCGAGGGTTATGTAGAGGCCTATTAGAATCAGCTATCGAAGAGGCCTTGGGGCTAGGGCCCGTGTTCAGGACTTTGGGTTCAGGGGTTTGGGGTGTAGGGCTTAGGGTGTGATGTAGGGGCCTCTATTGAATGGCTCTTTACCTGGAGGGGGCCTGCTAGATCCCAATTGGGTGTAGGTTTCGGGTCCGTCAGGAATATATAATATATATTTATCCATCAACCCGTCTTTACAAATGCCAGTCACTGCTTGTGCACGGGATACGTTTTTTCGTGTCTGTCGACGATCATGTCTTCTCTTGATATTTCCCACATGTCTCCCGCACAGATCAGATTAATCCAGTGTGTGGAGGTCACAGGGCGGGAAGGCTATGGCACAAACAGCCCCTCTCACTTGCAACTCTTGGAATGCCGGCGAACTGAAATGCATCTCCGCTTCATTCCGTGGACCCAGCACAGAATAGTACAAGGATGCAGGAACGGAATAATCGGATAGCGATATGAAGCATGACGAAGACAGAGCCGTCACGGTACGGAAGAACACAAAATCCAGTTTGCAGCCCTCCAGGATCACATTGTCCCAACGAAGTTCATATGGAGTATATGCACCAGGAGCCACTGCAAACATTCCATGATAAGGCCCCCAAAGATGCAAAAGGTATTCGGTTCTGCGTTCGATGAGAGTGAGGTGCTCAGTCCACCTGCCATCATAGTCGTCCCCTTCATCGAGGATAATCGACAAAAAATAAGAAGAGCCTGCGAAAGCGAAGATCCTATCCCAGAAGACGGCGATACCTGATACAGTGTCCATGGCGGCAGGCCTGTACTTTGGGAATCCAATACATAAGAAGCGGAGCCAGAAAAAGCTACTGTGGCAAGAACTCACAGGCGTCGATTTGGGATTCGCGATACGGGTCTAGGCTTTAGTGTGTGCTGACGGACCGCGGCATTAGGCTTCACTCGGGCTAGCGGGCTCCTCCGAGGATTTCGGCGACTTCTTCTGCTGCGGCTGGCCCGGCTGGCTTGTGTCCTGGCGAGCGACAAAGTTTTAAAAACGGTGGTTGTTGGGGTTTCGGGCTTGGCCTTCCCTGGCACAGGCGGCGCTTTCGGCTCGTCCTGACAGGATGCAGTCTGCTAGCTATATAATTTCAAGGCGACGAGAGGCTTGCAAAACAATGGCCTCTGCAGCCTCCAGATCAGATTGCAAGTTTCGGCGAACATCCTCGATCAAAGGGGGGATGTAGTATAGGGCTAGGCTAGACCAACAGATGCGGGGGGTCCTTGGTCTTGATCTTCTTGGGTTCGGCAGCAACAGACTTCTGGTTCTTCGACCACAGAGCAACATCTGTGGATGCATTGGAATCCTGCACAATGGGAAATCAGATCCCCAATCCTGTGCTCCCTATAGTAGAGCAAGGGGTCCTGTGACTTGGCTCGTTTCCTTGTTAGGACCGGCTGCTCATCCGGGGAACCTGCTGCATGTGTGTGTGTGTGTGTTAACTGATCACGACGACACAGGAACTGCGGTGGCCTGTTTCCGTGGTGCAGCTGGCGAAGCTGCTCCTTGGGCGTCAAAGGGTGGGCTTCCTTATTTTTCTGGGGCTTCGGGCTGGCCTGGAGTTCTCTTTTCGGAGTGCATGTCGGGCTTGGCGGCCGTCGGCCAGGAGCTGCTCCAAACAAAAGGCATCCATGGCTGCCGTCGCTGCCTAGCTAGAGAACACCTTCGCCAGCAAAATGCTGGCTGTTGCTGGAGCACAAAACCACAACCGAAAGCACGTGTGCAAGTGCCCAGGCGTGCCACACGTGCACCCGGCCGCTGGCCTTCTCACGGTTTCTCACGGTTTGCTCACGGTTTCCATTAAGAGCCTTGCTCGACTTAGGCCAGGCCAAAGATGGGCCATCTCACGACTTCTCACGCTTATCTCACGCTACTTTGGGGTCCTAGTGTTTGCCCGGAATGGCTGGCCCAAGCAACTTGAAAAATGGCCTCTCAGCTGCAGCTGCCCAGCGTCTGGTCCAAGTGTCCTGCCAGAGGTTGCCGTCACACACCGTAACCCGACCGTACCCTGCCCCTACCCCACCTAAACCCTACCGTAAACCTACCCTATACCCTAGCCCTCCCCTACCACCACCTATACCCTCCCTCTCCCTCTATACCCTGAGAGCAAGCACCCTACGGGCGACTTTTTTGTCGGCGGCTCACCGGCGTTCGAAGTAGTGCAGCTGTCCTGCATGGAATAAATGGTGAAGCACTCTAAGGTACCATGCGTGGAAGTCTTCTCTTCTCTGCTCAGGGCTTCTGCTGTCGTCGTCCTTGTTCTTGTCATCATCTTTCTCCTCAGGGCTTCTGCTGTCATCGTCCTTCTTCTTGTCATCATCTTTCTTTCTTTTGTCCTGCCTCTTAACGGCCCTGATCGCCCGCATCAGTGCCCGAGCGCCCTTCAAAGCATAAGCCAGCCTTTCTCGTCGCCTTTTCCGGCGGACCCTTCTGGTGAATCCCACCATGAGAGGCGAGGTGCTGGATCTCCGCCCAACACTAGCGAGCGAGCTGCTGGATCTCCTTCCAAAACTAGCCAGGGCTTTGAGCACAGTGCTGCAGCAAAGCATAGATCACAGGGTAAACCTACCCGGTATTTATGTTGTACACCACAGAACAGTTGGGCTGAAGGTTTTGGGTCTGCTTCTTCAAGACAGGTTGGACGATGTCGTGTAGTGTGGTGGGCTGGAACAAGTTCGGGCTAAGGGCCTCCAATACCAATCTAGCAAATATGGTGTATGATGGGGTCTAGGCTTTGGTGCGTGCTGACAAACCACGGCATTAGGCTTCCCTCGGGCTAGCGGGCTCCTCCGAGGATTTCGGCGACTTCCTCTGCTGCGGCCGGGCCGGCTGGATTGTGACCTGGCGAGCGACGAAGTTTTCTCTTAAGAGCAAGGTTTAAGGGCAGCAGGGTTCAGGCGATTTGTTCCGAAGGTGTTTGAGGAAAAAGCGGGGTGTTGTTTGTTATTGTTTGGTGCCTGACAGGGGGCACCAGGTATATTATAGTTACGGCAGCTGAGATTGCGCTGTAACCTTTTTCTTGCTCGGCATCATTGAACAGTGCATTGTTGTTGTTGTTCGACAGTCAGACATGGCTAAGTATAAGCAGCCAGTTTGGAGTCGACGATTCCTGGCTGTACAGACTAAGGGCGCGAGCTGTACAGCAATTAATGCCATCTTATCATGGCTCAGCATTCCTCAACATTGTCGAGGTCCTGAAAATTCGCGAAAACATATTCGTCTTCAGCCTCACCAGCATCATCATCATCCGCAAGGGCTGGCATAACATGACCAAAAGTCGTGAAGACATAGTCTTGGTCTTCTTCTTCACGTCCCAAGACTTGCGGACGCCCCAGAATCGCCATATGGCGTGTCGACATATCCTGAATTGGTTCGGAGTTTAGCATAGGCTAGGATTTAAAGCAAATTACTGGTTTATGAAAAATGATAATTTTTTAAACCACCCAGAACCTTTGTTATTTCAGTTTCATTTTCAACATGATGAAAACCCACCATAATGAGTCTGTCAGGGTGCTGGATTCAAAGGATCAGAAGCCATCATGCCCTTGTACTTCATCCTTCGGACCGTGGTTCCTTCAGTCGAGATCCAGCCTCAATGTCAAGTGAAGGAGCACCCTAAAACCTCAGCCCTTAAATTTCTACCCTGAACCCCGAACTAAACCCCATGTAGGCAAGCAAGCAGCAACGGGTTTCCTGGTCAAAGAAGAAGCGCAAATTGCGCCATGGCACACCACTTGTGCACCTGAAGTGGAGGCCAATGGAGCTGCCATCACGCCACCAGCGGCCGTGGCTTTCCAGGCACGGACGGTTCGTACCTCAAGGTGGCATATGACAAAAGCCTAATAAAGCCCTATTGAAATAAACAAGCCTTACTCACTGACGGACACCAAGCAAATCAAAACATCGGTGGAGTAAGCCAAGCTGCGGGTCCATCGGAAAAATGAGACCCCGCCATCCTGCCATAAGAGCATGTACTCTCCTGTTCGCTGGTTGTGAGCGTACTCGAAGATGAAGACCAACATGGCGCCAGGAACAAAACTAAAAGACGAGGATCCTAGTTAGAAGATGTATCTTAGCATGCACATGTAGATCAAAGTCAGATTTGACTTGAGGCCAGGCATTGCATGATTGTTATCATCTTGTCTTCTCATCATAGATTGTCAATCCTCGCATAGATCCTGTCATGTCGCTGAATTGAATGTTAGGCATGGATCATCATGTCCTCGTTCTCGGATCCCTAATAACTGATCAGACAACATCACAGCAGAAAACAAAGCAGAGACATGTGATGCTAACCCAGGTCTTCCTGCATTGCGTCCACTGCAGGACCATCGATGGTGATTATAATCCGAAACCTTCAAACCCTAGACCTGGAAGCTGGCAAATTAGGAAGCTAAACCATCCGAACCGTGCACCTTAAGTATAAGAGCAGGGTTTAAAGGCTTAAGGGTTCAAGGTTTGGTGTCCAGGCCCTAGACCACCACCACCAGAAATGCTAAATCCTCCGAATCTTACACCTAAAGCCCCTGAACCCTTCCCTCCCAGGATGGTGCCTTCATTTCTTCTTCCTGGCCTTCACAGGCGTCTCGCTTGCCTGGCCGCCAGTTGTGCAACATGGCATTAGGGTTTAGGGATTAGGGTTTAGAGTTGAGGGTTTAGGGGTTACGGTTTAGGGTTTGGGGTTTCAGGTTCAGGGTTTACAAGGGATTAGGATTTAGGGTTTAGGGTTCAGGGGTTCGTTTTTTAGGGGTGAGGGTTGAGGGGTTAGGGTTTAAGGGTCCGGGTGTTTACTAATTTATATATGAAATAAACCCTATAACCCCTAAACCCGAACCCCTAAAAACAATTAAGCCTTGTATCCACAATGTTGCTTGGTGTCGCTGGCCTGGCCGCCACAGGGTTTGGGGTTTAGGGGTTCGGGTTTAGGGGTTAAAGTTTAAGGGTCAGGGTCAGGCTTCAGGGGTTAGGGTTTAAGGGTTGGATCCAGCTGCTTCGAGGCAGAGTCGCTTACGGGCTCTTGGATTAGAGGAATTGAGCGAGGACTAGCCTAAACCCTAAACCCGGCCTAAACCCTATATCAAAAGGCTCAAGCTGATCATGCTTGGCTGAGAAGTCGCCAGTCGTTCTCCACCAGTAGAATCGGTCTTCCCACTGCTGTTTGCTCATGACCTCTGTAGGGTCCGGAGTCGTGGGGTCTGAGGCGTGTCGAATGGAACGGGGTCGAGCCGTGTTGAAGGCTTGGTATAGCTCGCTTGAGTTGAATCTCGCAGAGCTTTCCGACCAGGTCCCCGACTGACTCGATGCGGGCAGCGTTCTTTTCCTCGGATCTCTCCAGGTTCGTCCGATCTCTCCGGGTCGCCGCAATGGATGCCCGAAAATCGCCACCCAGCTGGGTGCTGGCCAGCCTTCAAAACCCTTAATCCGGCAAAGCCCTAAGCGCCTAAGGCCTTAAACCCTCAGGCCCCCAAATCCTTTTTCCCGAAACATTGACACTCAAGCCCTTAAGCCTTTAACCCTAGGGCCCCGAAAACCTTGAAGCTAAAACCTCAAAAAAATCAAGCAGTCCTAAGTCCTGGAACCACCAACCCTAGGGCAGATACAATGGAGGCTTCCGTAAAGCCAGGATCATATCCTTATCGAAAAGTCAGATGGGACCGATCTATATATAAACCCCACACACCCGATCTCACCGTACTTCGAAGCTCAAACAAAAAAATCCACAACACGAAAATACAGGACCACCCCAAATCCTTATAGCAACATCCGAGGAACCATTTCTTTCAACTATATCTACGTGGATGGCCCTGGGAGATCTTAATCGGGCCCTGGCTTCACATTAAATGTTGTCGGTCTTGGGCCTTTGGAATCTACTTGATTCTAATAGGGAATGGATGGCTTTTGCAAGGGGCATGGATCTGAGGACTGAAGCGGGGCGGTGTTACTTCGTCCGTGTACACCCACAAAAACCCTAAAGTTTGGGTTTGGGGTTTTGGGTTGAGGTTCTTATATATCCGGTTCGAAGGATGAAGCATTAAGGCCATAGTAGCAATCGGGAATGAGGGGGGCAGGTTTGGAGTCTCCGTCAACAACCTGCTACGATACCCTCGTCCATAAGTCCGACATCCTTAGCAGATCCGACAAGAACCCCCTGGAAACCCTTTTTTTAAACCTATCAACCCAGAACAGCGTCAGGTCATATGGAAACCCCAGTCCTCGGAAGCCTGCTTATAATTCGAATTCTGAAATAAAACCCACACCCTAGGGCTCCCACGGATCTCGAAGATCGTGATGTTTTCGCTGATGCGGGACGGGGTGGCTATTTGGGGTAGAAGCCCACAGACCCTAGACTTACGGTTTCGGGGTTTCGGGTTTAGGGTCTTTAGGTTTGAGGATTCCAAAGGCTTCCGGAATGAAAGTCCCAACCCCTGAAATCAGCTGATTCAAAGCCTGAAGCAAAACAGAGACTCTGGGAGGTCCGAAGCGAACCCTATCAAATCCGAAACTACCCATACAATTGGACCCCAGCACTAAGTAATGCCTATAGGCTTCCATGTAGAGAGAAAACCCAAAACCAAAATTCCAAAGTAACCCTGGCCTCCTCAAGGTCATTCCAGTTCGCAGCGATGCATGCACGGTGCCACCTCGGAGGACGGGAGCTCAAAGTGAAGTGCAGGCAGGCTTGCGTAATTCCTGAGTTCCGTTCGCCGTCCGGAATCCTTTGTGAGCGGTCCAACAGAAGTTGGATCCTTTCTTTTTGTTCACCTATCAAAGCGGGCGATCGTGGAAAATATTATCGAGAAAGGCGTATTGACTAGCCTTCACGTCTGTCTTCCAGGCTCGATTCAACTTCTCGATGTGAGGCAGCGAGGTCTTGTTGACATAGAAGCAACCAAGCTGAAACCTGTGTTCCAAGCAGAGATCGCGAGTTGAAGTCAAACTGTAAGCTCTCATGTTATAATATATTAATGCCAGGGAACAGAACAGCAATCGTAGATTGCGAGCTCGACTGCTGCGGCAAGCGAACTGTGAAGGACCTGGGTGCTATCACTGCCGCACGACTTGGATTCGCTCGCAGCCACTTGGCATAATGCATGCGAGTTGCATCGTTTCGTCGAGGACATCCTGGGAGGGGATCTTCATGCGACTGTCGTCCTTGGCAATGGCCCGGATGGCACGGATGTTGCGGTCCCTGTTCTCCTGCCCGGGCGAGGGGGTGTTCGATTATTCTTTCGACCCTTGATTAAATATATTGGTCCTTCTGGTAGTCACTGAGCGCCGCGACTCGCGTGCATGCCTGGACGATGATTGCTTCGAGTCGAGCTACAAATTTAAATGGAGAAGCCACGGACAGTCCTCCTCCACAGTGCCGGGCGTTTCCACTTGGTCCTGGCCCTTCGCCTTCTTTGCTTGTCCCTTTGCTGTCGCCTTCGGCTCCTTCTTTGCTTGTCCCTTTGCTTTCGCCTTCGGCTCCTTCTTCGCTTGTCCCTTTGCTTTTGCCTTGCCTTTGTTCTTCAGCTTGTCCTCCTGCTCCTCCAAAAGTACCTCATCTGTGGCCTTCTCGTCCTCTGCATCGAGATCGTCGTCCTCGCCCTGGCCTGCCTCCTCGTCCTTGCTGCCCCTTGAGCGGCCTCGTCCACGACCACGGCCGCCACGGCTGCCACGGCCGCCACGGCCGCCACGGCCGCGTGGATTGCCTCGCCCTTGCACTGCCTCGTCTGTCTGCACCTCCGACAAGCTGGCAGCATTCCGGATCTGCTGCTGCACCTGCCAGAGCACGACTAAAACCAATGAAACTTAGAACCTGGGGCCAAAGCTGATAAGTAAAAGGATTATATGAGGGCCCTCAATACCACTATTACAGGGTGGGGGCAGCTTCTAAGGTGTAGGGCTCAAGTTGGGGATCTCTTGTCCAGGGTTTAGCATTAGGGCTTTTGGGTTTAACTTGTACTGTTGGTTCCAGGGATTCAGGGATGAGGAGATGGCGTTTATTGTGGGGTTGAGAAACTGTTTACGGAGCTAACATCCAGGACTAGGATTGTGACCCTAAACCGTAACCTGCTATAGAGCCCTGTCACCGATTTTTTGTTGCTTCACTCGGATCGCGACTCCTCAGCTAGTTTCGCCGAGGCATCCGCTGGCTCCTGGGTTGGGGGTTTAAAGGGAATTTGGTAGTTGTAGGCTTTCTGGGCCTTTGGGAGGCTTTAGGGGTTTGCTGGATTCTAGGGGTTGCGGTGTTTAGGGTTTCATAGGTTTTGGGGGTTCGGGTGGCTTTATAATTTAAGGATTTAGGGATTTTGGTGGTTTTCTTTTTTTGGACCCTGTCCTTCTTCACATCCTTGTCCCCAGCTTCCGACGAGGCCCCCTCTTCCTGGGTCAAGCAACCCCTTAAAAAATACTCCCATAAGACCCCCTTTACCTGACCTTAAGATAGGAGTAGTCTGGGAGGCTTCTGGGAAACAGCTAACCTGCTGCTTATTATAATAGATCCGAGCCACGTCGATCTCGTACACACCGATGAAGCGGCGCCGCCGCCGCTTCTTTCCAGAGGGCTCCTGCAGGTCTAGCTCGGATACACACCCAACGGCAAAACCCGTACATGCAGCCCAAAACCCTGAAGCCCTAACTAAAGCCTGACGAAGCCCTTGACTCTACCCGGATACTAAGATGTCCCAGCCTTTGACTTGGGCTTATCCTCGGAGCTCGAGTCCACGTCCACTGGCAGATCCTTGGAAGGACTCAGTATTTCACAGCCCTAAAGCATGCACTAAGCCCGAAAGCTTCATTGCCCCAGCCTTCAAAGCCAAAGGCCGCTTCTTCGTGGAGTCATCCGCAGGCTCATCCTGCAGGGAACTGATTATATCTTTAAAGATACATTCACCCTACACCCCAGAATCCTTCAACCCCTATTAATAATAGCCAAGCAACTCTCGAAGGACTTGGCTCATGATCATCCTGCAGGGATTAACTGTTTAAAGATACATGCACCCTACACCCCAGAATCCTTGAACCCCTATTAACATAGCCAAGCAACTCTCGAAGGACTTGGCCCATGATCATCCTGCAGGGATTAACTGTTTAAAGATACATGCACCCTACGCCCCAGAATCCTTCAACCCCTAGCTTATAGCCAATGCCTCCGAGCTCGGCTCATTTGTGCTCGCCGCAATTGGCCAAGGCCCAATCATAGGCGGCAGAGATCTCGGAGGACTTGGCGGAGGCGGCCCCGGGGGCGGCGGGAGAGGCGGTGCCAGCGGAGGTGGCGGTGGCGGGGGGATGGGAAGCATCCGTGGGGGGTATGGTGGCGGGGGCGGGGGCGGCGGCCCCCCGCCCCACTTCGACCGTAAAAATCTAGCCATGGCTGAGGGATTGGTCCCTGTGCACCCCTGAAGCCAGGAAAGGCTGCAGTTATGTGCAATTGCACCCAATCCAGCCAACCCCAACCGCTACTTCAGGTTTTAGGGCTCGGTTGTTGGAACGGAAATTAGGGGTTTTACAAGAGGTTTTGGACCACGTCAAGACCCTTCCATTCCATATGTGTTGGGTTCTGGGTTTCGAGTTTGGGATCGGAGGTTACGTTGTTAAAGCATGGACCCTGCATCCCGGAATTCCAGTACCTCCTCAATTCTCCAAAAGCCACAAAGCACACCCGGGCACCTCCAGGATGCCACCTTTGTCGCTGGCCTCCTGGGAGACCTGCTTCTGCAGCTTCTCGGCCGATTGCTTGAGTCCCTCGCTCACAGCGGCTGCGGGCCTCTTCATACCTCTTCGCTCCTGCCCATGACAAGTCTTCAGCACTATGTACTCCTAAGCCAACGAATTCCTAGACAGCACCAAGCCTGAATCCTGAATGGAACCCTGCACAAACCCGCCAGGGCACTGCGATCCGAAACCCACAACCCGCCCCGAAGCACTCCTTCTGGGCATCGGCATTCTTTTCGGCTTCTTCTGCTAAGGCTTCTTCGGCTGCAGCTGCCTCGGTGTCGCTGTCCACCGGCGCCGGCGGGGCATGGGGCTTGCAAGGGGTCTTTGGGAAGCCGGTAGGGCGTAGGGTCGTCGGGGTCCGGAATGATTGCATCATTATCCATCTCCTCTTCTTCACCGCCCTCCTGAGCGTGGTCCGCCATGTCCTCGTCGTCCAAGTACTCAGCGGGTCCTGTGGCGGGGATTTAATTTTCTCGGACCCAGGAGCTCAGGAAGTGCAAGTTTTGTTGGGTTCCTGATAGCTCGGGCTCGTGGGCTCAAGGCTTAAAGTTATTACCGATCCCATAACATCCCAAACTTGCACACTGGATCAATCGGGGTCTCACGGTTAGGGTTCTGTAGAGCTCAAAGTCGGAGAATTCCCAACCCTTTAAACCGCCACCCCGCCTGAGCCTTCGGAGAAGTCTCCCCACTCCCTGGTCGGCAGCCGATTTGGGTCTTCCAGAGGAATCTTTCTCTCCTGTGATCAGCGTGCGAGGTGATATTACAAATCGGATTCAATTATTTGTTGGGTGTCCTGATCTTTTTCTTCTTGCAAAGTGTTCACCAGCTTCTTGAGAAGGGCCATGTTCTTGCTGCCGCTCCTTTGGGCTAGAGCGAAAAGAGAGGGATTCTCAAGAAAACCGAACCTGGCCGGCCTGGCATCAAAGTTACGGCGGCTGCGGTCCATGACGTGCGACATCAGGGCCCGGTGGAGGTCCCCCTCGGTTTTCGCCCAAGCCTGCCCGAGAAACACCGAATGTGCAGGCTTGGCGGCTTGGCGTGAACAACTTCCTGCCTCCCGGGCTGCAACCGAACACGTCTTTCCCAGAAGTTTTCGATCTTCGGCGACGTTCTCAAGGGCCGCTTTCATCTCGATTGAAGTGGGTATCTTCAAGCCTAGGGTCGTCAGGAGCCTCGCGACCAGCTTCGCATTGCAATCATCCTCCACCTGGGCCGGGGTTAAGGGCTTGGGCATCCACCCCCGAAGCAGGAAATCCTAAACCGAGTACGACCGGGGGGGGTATTTGGGGTCCCAAATTTTCAGGGTTTACGGTTTAAGGCTTAGAAATAATGGGTAATAGGGAATATATGGTCCGTATATAAAATTTAAAACGACATCTGAGGCGTGAGGAATCTTCGTGGCGATCTCTAGGTCCGAAAGCCCATAACCCGAAGAACCCTAAGCACCTCATCCCGGCCGATGGTTCCGCCCCGGAGGTTCACGAAGGAAAACACCACCGGAGCCTTTCAGAGGCTTGTGGCAGCATTTACAGGGCTAAGGCTTTACACAGATTTGGGGATTTGTGTTTGGAAGAGGGCCTTCCCCTGCTTCAGCAGCCGTTGCATCTTTTCGGTTCGCACATTCTGCATCTTGCACAGCTCCGTGACCCTTTTCTCCTGGTAGTCATTGGCCTCCAGGATGCCGGTGTAGAGGTCCTGACAGACAAATGGTAGGACCCCCCATAAGGCCAATCACCCTAAAAACCAGCTACCCGATCCCTTGTGCCTGCAAATACCGCACCCGAAGCGACGGAGGCTTGCTCTTCGGCATCCGCAGCACCAGGGCACCAGCAGTGCTGATGCACGGAAAAAAAAGCTCTTGAGCACCAGCAACCGCCCGGAAGCTGCTTTTAGTGAGACATGACATGCACTCAATAAGTCAAGACTGGCCGGGGCAACCGCCCGAGTCCGTCTCATTTTCCACAATCTCATTCTTAATATCCAGACCTTGAGTCCAACAGAAATTAGCATCGATTTCATTTGGAAACCCCTGCCCGAGTAGCTGGGATCACTGCGAGAAAGCAAGGCCTTTTTCATAGCCAATCAGACCGTACCTCAGGATCAGTACTGTCAGTCAATTCCCTGCCAGAATCTTGGGCACCAGCGGAATCTCCTCCATCGGCGCCAGCAGAAATCATCGATCCGTACCTCGCTCCCCGTAGAAATCGCTAGGATGATTACACCTCTAAAGTCGAGATTCTCGGGCACCAGCCCAATAGTTCGGGGATCGGCGCCACGAGAGCCCGCCACAATCCATAAGTACCTGGGTCCAGGAAAGTGCACAGTCGTATTACACAGGAACCGAG